TACAGTGCAAGGGTAATAGAAAATAATTTAACCTCCATGAACCTCAAAGTCACCGAGATAATAAAGGATAAAATGAGGATTAAAAACTTGGCCTGGTCCTACTTCAAAATCCATACTTTCAACTTCAGCACATTGCCCGTGGCGTATGAAAGGCACGTCACAAACCGAGCAAGGTTTGAAAAGAACAATTTAGAAGTGAATGTGGATTATTTTTTTTAAATCCCCCTACACTCTACTTTCTTAGGAGGAAAAAAAAAATAGATTAAAACTATACCAACAGTACATTCAAACACACACATGGCATTATACCACCAATAATATCATTCAAAGCTGTTCCTTAGTGGACAATGACCTTGATGTATATGAATGAGGAACTCTCGCTTTGTTCCTCATTTGTTAGCAATTGTGAGAAAATGTTCTGTCAATGACTCTTTTGAGTCGAAGGTATCCTTGGAGGCAAAGACAAGAATGTGCTTTTCTCATACTTTGGGCAAGGTGCTAGGAGAGGTTACACCTTGGAGAGGGACATCATGCTTGCACAGGTAGATGGTCGGCAAAAGACAGAAGATCGTCAGTCATTCACCAGACACAGTAATGGCAACAATGGGCTCAAGTGTGTCAGAGATGATGAGGATGGCACAGGACAGGACAGGGCTCACATCTGTTGTTTAAAAGGTCACTATGAGTCAACTCAACAGCACCTCACAACAACAACCAATCTAATCTGGGTGAATGCAAATTAGGTAAGAACCCTTGCCTTAATTAAGCAGATTCAGAAGCAAGACATTTTTTTTAAAAAAGTATTTGTTCATTTCCTTTTTATATAATAATAAAAAAATCTACAAGTAGTACAAGCAGGGAGTGTATGTTGGTCTCTTGCTTTTTAACAGTAATAGTGTTGGAAAGATAACCTCCTGCTAGCATATTATAAAAGTCTTCCATGAAAAAAGTTTCATTTCAGCCAGTCAGAGAGGAATGACTGGGATTTAATAAGATGGAAAATAAAATAGGATTCCTTGCACAAAAGATAAGGTGAAATTTTGCCAGGAGAAATAGCTGGATAAAATAAATAAAATATGGAGACATGAAATGATGTCTGATTTGCTGCTACAAATATAGGGCATAACTAGTTACATAGTAGACAAAGGAGAGGTCCAAGTTATGGAAAGTCCTTTGGGACCAAGCTTGACACTTATTCCATGAAAAATGAACAACTACAGAATATACAGAAATATCTCTATTATCTAAAAATGCACTGATTATTTAGGACATATGATGGAAAAGAAGCATGATATTTGGAAGATCATGGAGATAACTCATTTGGGAGATACTAAGATCGGATTTAAAAATAAAAACCAAATGCCTACAGTTAGATCAATAGAGTTTGTGTCAGAACAAGGAATCCTTATCTTTTGTACCAAGTGGAACCTGACAGTTTCGAACTTTTGGCCTTTAGGTTAGCACCATGGTGCTTAACTCTCTGTACCACCAAAGCTTTTCTTCCTAGTTCCTTTTCTTTTCCTTCTTCACCTTTCTCCTCTTGTTGTTTCTTCTTCTCTTCCCCCACCCCTTCCCTTCTTTTCTCTGGTCGTCTTAAAATCATCTTCTTGATCAACTCACATTTTCAGCTATTTGCTTAATGAGAATGACTCTAAAATTACACCCCTACCTGGCGTGCCTGACTACAGTATTAGCCCACTTTCTCAGATACCTAATGAACGTGTTCACTTTGAATTCTCAAAACCATAAACTAAACCCACATATCACCTGGTCTATTCGTGGTAACACTTCACTGAGTCCAATGCTCAGGCCCTAAATCTTTGTGAGAAGAGCCTGCTAGATCTCTTCAGCAGAGCAGCTGGTGGATTTGAACCAGCAACCTTCCTGATAGCAGTCCAACAGTCAATTTTCTATATTATCAAAACTCCTTGGGTGGCCAAAGACAGCTCAACATCAACACTGAATTGCAACGTAATCTTTCTTTGATTTTCGCTGCTCTGGGGCTTCTTTACCTCCTTTAGTGAGTGTAATAAGAAGATGATGACAAAATATTTTAAGATGACATTGCAGAGCCAGGAGACAAGAATTGGTGAAGGAACAGTCAGTGTTTGAGGCTCTGAAGGGGAAAATAATTCCATGAGTTTGCTTAACAGCATATCTCAAATGATATTGGGATTGTTTTTAAAATTTTAGAAGTCAGAAAGCAGAAATAAACTCATTAAAAATGAATTTTTGTTTCAGTGCTGATTTTCCGCTGTCTTGAGGACTGCAAGGTGAAAACTTTCATGAAGCGGATAGAGATGTGGGTTAACAGCTTAACCAGGAAGATAAAGTAGAGAGTGGATTACAAAGTCATCTTAATTAAGCAAATGGCTGACAACCTAAGATGACCAAGGAAGAAATCAAGAAAGGATAAAAGCAGGGACATGGAGGAGAGAAGAAACAGTGAAAAGGAAAAGAAAAAAGAAGTTAAAGAAAAAGCAACTGTAAAGAAGGAACTTCCAAGGAGCAATGAACAAAATACAAGAAGAGCAAGGAGAAGGACATCTGCTGGAGGAGGACCAGAGGTAAAAGAAAGAAAGGAAAAACAAATGACAATATTTTGCACCATAATGGCCCTACTCTATAAAAAGGTCTTTATTTTGAAAGTAATATCCAAACGAATTTCCAACAGTAATGTTACGAGCACACCCCCCCCCACATCAAATGAAATTGCTAACATAAATAAAAATGTACGAGTACATGGGGAAGGTAAGTGTATTTTGCACTGAATCTGATAATGCAGACCAAATTTAGCTTTGAAAAACCACAATCAATACTTGATTCTATTTGTATCTACAGCAAATTACGTTGTTGAGGGTACTATCCATCCAGATATTTCTTTCTGGTCTTTATAGACACACATATTTGTAATTATTCTGAGCAGTTTGAGGTTTACATCATAAAACCTATAAAACAAGGTTCTTGATCAAGTTGTGCTCTGGCATCTAATTTATTGCCCTCATTGGTGGCTTTGGCAGGATTAATGCATTTGTTTGTGTTTTCCTCATTCTGCTCTTGAATCGGAATCTCTGCATGTGTATTTGCCCTTTTCCCATTATGTTCATTGTCCTCTAACCTATGTGACCTTGAAATCCAGTAAGTCTCCTGACAAAGTACCTTTAGGTACTTTGAAAATAAAAGAAGGTATATAGTATTTGTATGTATTTAACTTTTGAAATCTTCTATTTTGAGTTACCTACTATGTTAGACAATGAAGAGTTCCAAATACTTCCGTTACATAAGTCCATCTATGGTTGCTTATCAAGATCAGGCTATGAATGCTCCGCTCCATTGTGTGTATGGGGGCGGGAAGAGGGGGGAGAGAGAAATAGGGGAGAGGGAGAGAGGAAGA